TCCTCAGGTCCCTGAGATTTTGTTTATTTCTTCTTTTTTTCTCTCTTGTTCAAATAGATCAAAAGAGATTATCCAGTTTTCAAAATCACAGGCTCTTTTATCTGTCATTCTTATATTGTGTTTTCAGTTCTAAAATTTCCCCTTGTTCTTTTTTACAGTTTATGTTTCTTTGCTGAGAGTTTTTTTTATTCTTTCACTGAAAGCTTTTCTTTTCTTTTCTTTTCTTTTTTGCCTCACTGCACTTAGTAGCAATAGCTACTTTAAAGGCCTTGGCTGGTAATTCCAACATTTGAGACATTTCAGGGTTTGCCTTTCCTGGTTTTTGTTATAGTGAATCATCTTTGTATGTATTCTCTATATTGTGACTATTATCTTATCAAGACTATAGAGACTCTGTTCTATTTCCCAAAAAATTTCATTTTCAACTTTTGCACAGAAATAATTTATTTGTGCTCAGAATTCAAGTTCTGTTTTTTGATAACTCAAATTCTATTTCCGTTTTTTTTTTTTTTTTTAATTTCAGGGTTTTATATAGGATTCTGCATTGCCTTCTTGCCTGCGTGGTTTCTGTTAGACATCCAAGCTTAATCTGGCTCCCAAACCAAAAAATATTTCTTTCCAATTACTTCCTGGCACTCTAACTTTCTCTCTCTCTGCTCTTCTTCTTCTTTTTTTGGGGGGGGTGGGTGGCGGCAAAGCTTATACACAGAGTTTGGTACTTTTTTTCTCTACTCCTCTTCATTCTAGGGTTTCCTTTTCCATTTTCAATGGCAGTGGTTCTTCAGACCGGAAAAACTAAGGTATTTCTTTGGGAGTTTTCACTGCCTATATAGTGCAGGCTGTGGCATGCAAGTGGGAAACTCACCCAGTTCAGTTTCTTTCTTCACAATGTCAACTCCTCTTCAGAATAAGCATCAATAGTGCCTTCAAGTAGTTAGTTTTTGTATTTTGTCCAGAGTTTTCAATTGTAACCTATAAGAAAATAGGATTGATCCAATAGACACTTAGCCAGTCATTAGTGGAAATGGAATTCAGTGCTTGTGTATCATACTTTGTATTTATATTCATATTTATATTTATATTTATATAAGCTTATCGTATAAATGGGATATCGGACTAGTTAAGGACAATGATTAAACATAAATGCATTTTAAATTTTAGTAAACATATTAGAGCAAAATGCTTTAAAATGCAAACATGTAAATATAATTATTTACATTTTCTTTAGCCATTGTTGTTGTTGTTAACTGCGATCAAGTAGGTGCCGACTCCTAGTGACCTGTAGAGGATTTCTGATGAGCAGCTGGTGGATTTGAACCACCGACCTTGTGGTCAATTGCTTATCCTCCAGCGCCACATTCAAAGCTTAATCTATCTCTGTCCTCCAAGTCTGGGGAAAACTAACTCACTGTAAATCCTTCCACATTTTCTAGAGCTTGTTTTTATGGCTTGAGATATATAACTTCTTTTTATTTTAGCTAGTATTATTGACCTCCCACATGTCAAGCACAGTGCCAGTGCATAAAATATGTTTTTGTTATTAAGTGCTGTCGAGGTGGTTCCGACTCATAGTGCCCTTGTGTAGGGTTTTTGAGGAGTGGCTGATGAGTTTGAACTGCCAACCTGGCAATTCAAATTGATCTTGTGGTTGAATGCTTATCCTACAGGGCCACCACATTCAATCTTTATAACAACCACATAAAATAGTTATTATTATTCTCAATTTTCAGATGAAAAAACAAACAAACAAACAAAGTCAGAATCAGAGAGAACAAATTGCTTCTGAAAGGTCATATCTGAAATGGAATTGTAACTTCAAATCCGTCAAATGCAGCTTCTATTCAATCTTTGAGCACTCTTTATTCGGGAAATCTTTAATTATCTCAGTTAACAGGAGAAATGGCTTTATTAAGCCTTCTAGATTTTTTTTTTATCAAGTAAATGTCTTCTTAATTTGCTTTGCCCTATTTTCAAGTCTCTCCTCCTTCATATCAAATCAGAGGGAAAAAAATGTTCTATAATATAATATTACTATTTGCAAGCATGCATAAATAGTTCTTCTAAACAGAAAAACATTGCAACTTTACTAGTTTTTAATAAACTTTTCCTGTTGCTTTTGGATAATTGACTTTAGAAAGCAATCTCACCTAATGGAAACAGTGAATACTGGGTTCCATGTGACCTTGGGCAAATCACAATGTCTTATCTTTATTATCCTTATCTATAAAGATAATAGTAGCTGTGCTGCTTACCTCACTGGGTTATCATGAGGGTCAAATGAGATAGTGCATGTGAAAACACTTTGTAAACTATAAATCTCTATTTGAAGTTAAGAGATTACAATCCTAATCTGTATTCAGTTGGTCTCATTAACCAACATACACAGTGTGAGATCATTCTATTGCTGTTGGGTATATACAATCAGTTAAAGAAGTGGACCTGATTTTAAAACCCATTCAGCTACTTGTCAACTTTGTGCTGTTAACCTTTGAACTTCAGTTGCCATACATGTAAAAGGAAGCTATGTGACCTTCTTCTCTCAGGTGATGAAAGAAGTAAATGAAATATTTGTACAAGTATCTAGCACAAACTGAAGGTTTACGGAAATGGCAGTGGATGCCAGGACCCTGGTGAAAACAATGCTTTCTCACCCCATTCTTCCTCAGTGCCTGGCTCCTTGAAGCCTGGGAGGAATCACTATTATGTTCCTTCTTTCATATGATTATCACAGTATCCCTTCAAGCTCAGCTAAAGAGGTATCATTAAATTCATTTTGCATATGAGAAAACTCCAAATATAAGTTCTTGTTGAGCCATGTAATATCTAAAATTGATTAATACTGTCTGGTGTCCAAAAAGGGCCCCATTGGGAGTTTGTTTGTATTTGACAAGAGTACACTGCACAGTCTTTATGACCCAGAAATGCAATTCTCAGATTTATATCACACAGAATTTTTTTTTTTTCACCAAAAGACATGCAACAGAATGTTCATTCAAAGCAGCACTGTTTGTAAGATTCCCAAACTGGATATAACTCAAATGTCCATCAACAGTAAATTGGGTAAATAAATTGTGCTGTGGTTACACAATCAAATTTGATTCAACACTGAGGATGAATGAATTGCTACCCATAATAAGAACAGATTTTGCAAGTATAATATTAAAGGGAAGAATTAAGATACAAAAGAGTATATATACCGTATGATTCCATTTATATAAAGTTTTATAAGCTGGCAAAACTATTATTTGATGATAGAAATCAGTTAGTTACCCTTGAGTAGGGGTGGGAATGACAGGAATGGGGCACAAGGGGAGGTTCTGGTTATATGGATACGTTTACATCATGAAAATGCATCAAGCTGCACATTTATGATTTGTATACTTCTCTGCATGTGGATTGTATTTCAGTAAGAAAAAAAAATTGCCTTAGATAAAATAGCAATCCAATATCTTTGCAAAGGCTTTTCAGAATAAACTTCAAAGTCCTAACTATGGCCTACGGGGCTATGTGAGATTTGACCCATGATACCTCCTCCACATCATTTCTTACCTTTAACCCCCTTGCTTACTCAACCACAGCCACATGTCCTTCTTGCTGTTCTGCAAACACACTAAACTGTTTTCCACCCCAAGACTTTGTACTTGCTGTTCCTTCTGCCTGGAACACTCATGTCACATGACTGGTTTCTTATCATATAGATATCAGCTCAAATGTCACTTCCTCCCAAAGTTGTTCACTCAACATGCCATCTGAATTAGACTTTCCAGTCTAATTTGTAACATAACACGATTTGTTTTCTTCGTAGCATCTATAACTTGTGAAAATAAGCTTGTTTTGTACATTTCTTTACTTATTGATTATCTCTCTTCCTCAATAGAATGCAAACTCTGTGAGGACTAGGGTCATATTTCTCGTGTTCATCATTGACTCTCTAATGCCTGACACTGACAGCACATATCAGATGCCCATATAAGTAAGTGTTAGGGCTGACTGAATTAGATAAGATTCCTAGGTAAAATATCCACTCATCTCCATCTGGAATTTTTCCCACAAAGGGAGAAAACTGAGAAATTGCAAACCATCCTGTTAAAAAGAAGCTTTGTTATTACAACCTCTCTTAGCCACCTCAGCTTTGTAAGGAGAAAGGTCAGATCTTCCCCCAATGTCTCATGAACTTTGACCGATGATGATTCATTAATGGAATGTACTTTAAATGTTAAGATATGAGAAACCAGCTTGAACCTACTTCTATACCCTAACCCCAGAAGTTCCAAAGTACAAATAAAACAGGTAGTGGGGCTCCTGTTTCCAATCTTAGTCTCATGTCATCTCTAGTGAGCATTGCTGTTGTTATTAGGTGCTGCCAAGGCACTGTGGACTCGTAGTGCTTGCGTTTTCTAGCCTGGAATCTTTAGGAGAACAGATTGCCTGCTCTTTCTCCCATGGAGCCCCTGGATGGGTTCAAACTGACAACCTTTCAGTTAGCAGTCAAGCGGGTAGCCATTATGCTACCTGGCCTCATGTGAAGGTTTGTGTCTTCATTCTCTAGTGCTGCTATAACAAATAACACAAAAGGATGGCTTTACAAGCCCATTGATTTTCTCACAGTATAGGAGGTTAGAAGGCTAATTTCAAGGAGCTGGCTCTAGGGGAAGTTTTTCTCTTGTCGGATCTAGAGGAAGGCCTTGGTCTCTTCACCCTTTGTTTCATGGAGATCATCATGTGGCTTGGCATCTGTCTTCCCCCACCTCTGGTTTCTAGTTTGCTTAATTTCTTTTATGTATCAAAAAACAGTGACTCAAGATCCAGCCAACATTAATCCTGCCTCATTAATGAGACCAAGACAATCCATTCCCAAATGAGATTATAGTCATAGGCATAAAGATAAGGATTTACAACAAAAATTCTAGGGGGACACTTCATATAAAATTGTTCAATAAACAACAGACATTGTCAACATGCATTTAAGGAGATCTTTCTTTCTTATGATTCCATCTTAGATACAACAACTATGACCGGGCTGTCATCAATACTGTCCCTTATGATGTTGTCCATCGTTGGTATGCAGCACACCGGACTCTAACAAAAGAGTTGAGGAGACCAGAGAATGAGTTTTGGGTCAAACTAAAGCCTGGAAGGGTAGGTTCCAAACTCTAAAGATGTTAAGTAAAGCCTTTTTATACTAAAGTTATGATGAACAGGTGCTTATTTAATCTGTGAGATACAGTGTAGTAAAGGAAAAAGGGAAGAGTTGTTGTTAAGTGCTGTTGGATTGGTTCCGACCCATAGCGACCCTGTACAGGGTTTCCAAGGAGTAGCTGGTGAGCTTGAATCACCGAACTTGCAGTTCAAATGGCTTTGCAGTCTGGCACATTAACCCACAGCGCCACACCAGGATTCCTAGTTATCAGTTGTTGTTGTTGTTGATGTTGTTATGTGCCGTGGAGTCGGTTCTGACTCATAGTGACCCAGTACAGAGTTTCCGAGGCTGTAAATCTTTACGGGAGCAGAAAGCCTCATCTTTCTTCCGCGGAACAGCTGGTAGTTTCGAACTGCTGGCCTTAAGGTCCGCAGCCCGATTCATAAGCACTCCGCTACCAGAGCTCCTTAGGGATCAGTAGACCTATCCATATTATGAGGAAGTTGAACTAGATGATCTTTAAGGTTCTCCTCAATTTGGGTGCTTCATGGGTCTTGTTTTTGTGGTTTTGCTCTTCATATTCCTCAAGATGAACACTACCTTCAGCTTAGCTTAAAACACAATAAAATATTTCCCACTTTCAGAAAGTTCAGAATATGACATAAAAAGCAGGGGGGAGGGGGGAGTAAAGAAAAATAAAGAATTACTGATTTGCTTTGATATGAGAAAAATACCCAAAAAAACAAATGAATCAACTGCTGGTCCCATTATCAACTAATGCCTTTGTACCTTCCACTTAAGGAGCTCTGGTAGCGTAGTGGTTACAAATCAGGCTGTGAACCTTAAGGTCAGCAGTTTGAAACTACCAGCCGTTCCGTGGGAGAAAGAGGGAGCTTTCTGCTCCCGTAAAGACTTCCAGCCTCGGAAACCCTGTGCAGGGGCGCTATGAGTCGGTTCCACTTAACCTGCTACAGATTCCAGTTTCCAAATGTCTGCTCAATTTCACAAGAAAAGTAACTCATTGAGTATAAGAGGAAAGCAATCTAAAGCTTTTCTTTGAAAGTATCTCTTTTGATTTAGGGTACATTGGTGTGTTCCTGTTCTGATGGTGTTTTCTCTCTTTTTTTTTTCCCCATTCTCAGGTGCTATTTATAGACAACTGGCGTGTCCTACATGGCAGGGAATCCTTCACTGGGTACCGCCAACTCTGTGGCTGCTACTTAACAAGAGATGACATGTTAAATACTGCTCGTCTCTTGGGACTTCAGGCTTAAAATTGGCAGCATTGGAATTATGAGCACACCTGACTCGACCAGAATTTCATCTGGTGTCCTAAAGCTACTTCTTCTTATCCCATCCCACAAAACAGATTTTGCACTTTCTCTGCTAGGAGCCAACTGAGTCATCTAGTCAGATACTTCCCTTCCCCAAGCTATAACATAGATCCACTGTTCAATCTTATCATATAATTTTGGTCAATCTGTTTCAGAAATGTAATACCAATATTGACAGTGAAGGACTAATAGTCCGTAGCTAAACATTTGTACCAACTGGGTCACTTAGAAAACAAAATTTTGATAAAGCAGCACTTTGCAAAATGTTTGGTCTCAGGACTCTTTATTCTTCAAAGTTAGTTATCGAGAGTTCTTGTCTGTAGGATTTATGAATATCTATTAATACTAACTGTAGTAGACATTGTTGTTGTTAAGTGCTGTTGAGTTGGTTCTGTACAGGGTTTCTACATAGCAGCTGGTGAGTTTGAACCACCGACCTTCAGTGCAAATTGACCTTGTAGTAAAGTGGATATTCTACAGCACCACACCAAGACTCCAGATAATACAAATGAAGACTGGACAATGTTTAAAACTCAAGAACACACAAACACACATTTGTAACTCTCTGGGCAACAGCATCATATATATCCTGTAGCCTGTGGAAAAGGCCACTGTATACTTATGAGAGAATGACTGTTAAAAGGTCAAATGGTGTCTTCTTGTTGTTGTTGCTAAGTGCCACTGAGTCCGTTCCAACTAATAGAAACCTTGTGCCGTAGGATCAGCACTGGACTTTGAAGCACAAGGGCCGAAGTTCAAACCCACCTGTAAAGGGTTGCTATAAGTTGGATGTGACTTGAAGGCACTTAACAACAGCAACAACAATAGGTCTCCTGAGGGTATAAATCTACGTGACAGCAGGAAGCCTCATCTTTCTCCCCCAGGGTGGCTGGTAGGCTCGAACTTCCAGTCTTGTGGTTCACATTCCAGTGCTTATCCTACCCGAATATCATCTTGTTGTTAGGTGCTGTCTGTTGTTGTTGTTGTCAGGTGCCATCGAGT